TTCATAAACCGTGTTGTTATCGGTTCCAAACCTAAAATAATTACATATATTTCAGCGAATAAAAGGTTAAACATGAAAACGGAAAAAAACCAAAGACTCCGGAAATCGGATCCTGGAATCGAACTCGGGTCCACTATTTCAGATTGGAAGATGAGTTTGGTAACCATTGTACCACTTAGGAAAACTTGCCCGAAAACGAATGATCAGAAAAACAAAGCATTCCAGCCTTATCTCAAATTAGTTAACAAATATGCGAATTAGCTAACAACTATGTGACACATGTTCACGTAACCTGACAAACTTCTCGCCAACTGACAAACTTCTTGCAAACTGACAAACTTCTCGTGAACAGACAAACTCCGCGGATGCCGACAGAGTGTGGCTAGTTACCCACACTAAAATCTATGTATTACGGTACTCATATCTGGAGCCCTTTTCAAAATTACCCAAGAGCACACGCTTGACTTAATTTTACGTGTGTGTATGAGCACACGCAACATCAAGTCGCTTTCAAAACATGATCGAAGTGAAGTACACGCGAGATTAGCCCGGCTTCTGTAATCTATTCCATTATTCGGCTAATGTCACTCTGGATATGTCTGATCATGGTCTTTTACGTGGCTCGTTAACATAAAATTAAATGTATTTTTGTTTCGTGCACAATTCAAGCACACGCATACCAGGTCACAATAAAATGAGGAGGTCAAACATTATATTTAGGATTTCATTGCACACGGCTGTTTCACATAGATGGGATGAGAGCTACTTGTAGACTCATCGGAGACTTTTTTTAGATCCAGCTTTATACTCAGTTTAGTCAAGTGATATATAAAGAAATAAAAAATCGGGTGCAAATATAAAACGTGGTAAAAACCTTGTCAAGAGTGGGAGACGGTAAGCATTTGCATTTTCGCAAATTCGTCATCTGACTGTAAACTGGCACAATTCAATATCAACATCTTTCACTCTCCAGTTGCAGCTCTATATGAATGAAAGGCAGCAAGAGCTCGAGACGATGATAGTCTCTGAAGGCAGAAATACCATCATATCTAGGAAACTTAACTACTTATTATTAATTAAACTTAGGATGTAAACAGCAATTGAAATATTCATAACCCAGTAGGAGCACCTGGGAGGGGCTCGAAGGGATGTACAAACATTTAAGTACTAATAGTTTTGATCAGGTGTCTGAAAAGAGAAAACAAACCCACAAATAATTACTTTCGTCACTTAAAATCAATGTTTCTGTTGCCATTCATGTTAAATTAGCTGAAAAATTGTGGAAAAATCCACCTGGGGAGGTCTCCCCCACGATCCCGACCCCTCTAAACTCGTACTTCACGTGATTACCAACAACCATGACAGTTAGATGAATTGAAATTTTCAATTACTCCCTGTCGTCGAAGCTACGCGATCTATTCACTTCTTCTCTTGTTTCTCCGAGTATAGAGTCTGTAGACGGTCTTTGGTAAGTATCGGCCGGTTTTGTTCATTGCGTTGAATGCAGCATTTGTATAACGCTTAATTGTTGTCACATTTTGTGCTGCAAACCCAGTTTTCGGCGTCTGCAGCAAATGCTAGTTTGTGAAAAAGGCGTTGGTCTGTGAAATTCTAAGCGCAATTTGCATCTAGCAGTAACACGGTTTCCAAATCTTTTTCGCTTTGCGGTGATCATAAGTTTGTTCCTAACCTGCGAATGACACAGGCATTTCCGCCAGTTCACGATTTAATCTGCAATATTCTTGGTAAACTCGAAAGATTTCAGGAAAGCCTTTAATAGCAAAGATAAGAGAACATAAGAGGTTTGTGCTGGAGACTGAAATAACTCTGGGATTGCGCAACACGCGCTTCAGCTAGTTTCAAAATGACATAGACTTAAATTCCGCCATCATTGCCGACAAGGCTCATATCTATCATGGGAAACGTTTTCTAGAGGTCTGGTATTCCAATAGAAACAGCAATGCGGCAAACGTGTCAACATTCCAGATATCTATACCGTCACTGATTGAGTAATCGCCTATGACGTGGTAGCTGTACATGCCGTTTGTTCCATTTTGCTGGCGAACCACGCACAGAGTTGTGAACCGTTAGATAGACGTTATTCAGCTGACTTTTTAGAACCGACGAAGGCCGCTGTTTTTCGGTCGAAATGTCTAACATAGTTGTTATAAACAATGTCCTTGACGCTTACACAAGTCATTGTCAGACACAATTTAGAAGTATGTCATTGATACGCCTGACTGCTTCTTTAAACTTTTCGTTTAAAGGAGTCTCGACATAAAATGCCTCTGTATAGCGAAACAGAACGGTTTTAAAAAGGTTGACGTTCAAAAATGCCCCATAATCTAATCCGGCAGATCATGAGGGCTATCACTAGGACATATGCAAGACAGCCCTCATGTGATCAAATGGTTTTTGGTGACGAGAATCCATGTAGATAAAGAAAATAGTTCTAAGAGGCTTATGGCTTCCGAGGTTCCGAAGGTGTCTGTCCATAAAGTATGGAATTTTAATCTCGTCAATCTGAAGACTGAAATAAACTGCATCTTTAATGTCGCTATTGCCGGTTTTCGCATGACGTCACTAAAATTCAAACTACAAAACTATTGATCCTCCTGATAGTTTACTTTCAAGAGGTATAAGAGCAGCTGAAAACTAGTATTCATGTAATTTTTTGTTCCGAATGGGTTCTTGGTTTTGTTATAGACTACGTTTGAATTTCTAAGCTTTTGCGTGACGCGGCATTTACATGACGGCCGAGAGAGCTGTCATGTTGGTTAAAAAAGTGACTTATTTCGGGG